GCAAAATCCCGGATTTTGCAATTTCCGCTGCTGAGCCCACCTCCTGCGGCCACCAGGTGGCGCGCGGCCTCCAGCCTCTGGGCCTGACGGGGGCGTTCGCCTTCAGCGACACTCTCAGGAAAGGGCTCATCGCGGCTGCCTCCCAAGGTCTAACTGAGCTCTACCTGGCCTGTTCGAAAACAAAGAACAAGAACACTGGTTCCTTGCCCACCTCTACTCTGCTGGTTTATGCCGCAGCTTCCTCACTGGCTGCTCATTCCCCACCCTGACCCCTAGCCCGCCCCACCAATCAGTTGGCTCCTCTATGTCATTGCTTGCTTAATTTTCAAGTCCTCATCCTGGCATTCGCACCCCTGCCTGGTCTGACCCCTGCCACATTTCCCATTACACCCCTTCCCTCACCTGCTAGACAGGATGTTTTGCAATGCTTCCCTGCATTTATGGGTTGGTTGGCTGTTCCTTACCGACACCGGTTAACCTGTACTGCATCCTTAATCTGCTCGGGCTGCCGTTCTGAGAGATTTACATTAACGCTATGCTCTGAACCTCATATCTGCTCTATGAGGTAGCTCCAACATTGCCGTTATTACACACTGATGAAATCACCCATCAGTAATGGGGATTCCAAAGCCAGTCGGTCAGACACCTGAACCTGAGCGCTTGGCTCCTTCACACTACTGGCTTCACCCAACACAATCCCAAACTCCTATTCATCTTTCAAGATCCTGTTCAAATAGCCCCTCACGGATATTAATATCTCCCACCAGGGAACATCTAGTTCCCCTCTGTGTTCCCTTACTGCTCTGTTGAGCTCTCTGAACTCTCTGTGGACTGTGAGAAATGATCTCTCTGTGATTGCTTCCCCACTACCGTTCCCCAGCCCCAGAGGGGGAGGGGAGCCCTTAGAGTTGGGGGTGGGGGGGGAGGGAGACAGAGGAGATGGGTCTTCTGGGCCATTCCCTCAGTTCTGGGTTCTAAAATGAGTTAGGACCAGGTGGCCTTCCTAGAGCCAAAACTTGCTTTTGTTATAGACCTCTGGAGGCAGTGAGTTCCCCTTCCCTGGAGATCCAATCAGGGCCTAAGTGGCACTGCAGAAACCTCCGGAAGGACTGGGGTTTCAGTGGTGGATGAAATTCTAAATCAACTCTCAAAGATGGACAGAAAAGTTCAGCCAAATGCTCAGCCCTTGGAAGTAGCTCCTCATCCTTCAGACTCCAGCTCTGTTGTCACTTCCTCCCAAAAGCCTTTCTATAAACTTATTTATTTTATGTATTTATTTTTGCCTGAGTTGGGTCTTCGTTGCTGCGCACGGGCTCTCTCTAGTTGCGGCGAGCGGGGGCTACTCTTCATTGCGGTGCACAGGCTTCTCATTGCGGTGGCTTCTCTCGTTGCAGAGCACAGGCTCTAGGCGTGCAGGCCTTGGTAGTTGCAGCACGCGGGCTCAGTAGTTGTGGCGCACGGGCTTAGTTGCTCTGCGGCATGTGGGATCCTCCCAGACCAGGGCTCGAACCCGGGTCCCCTGCATTGGCAGGCGGATTCCTAACCGTTGCGCCACTCGGGAAGCCCCCAAAAGCCTTTCTAGATCTCCCTTTTTTCTCACTCTCATCATTATAACCCCAACTGCTGAGCACAGAACCTGAACACAGTAGACACTCAATAAATAATTGCTGAGTGGGTGAAAAAACAAGTAAAACATATCTGATTTTTCTACTTAATAAGTGCAACTTTGGTTACCTCCAAGCCTCAAAGTCCTGGTTTCTAAGGGAGGAGGGATAATAGTGATAGTTACTACCTCACAGGATTGTTACGAGAATCAAATAAGATGATGCATGCAAAGCAATTAATATAAGGTCTCGCATAATAAATGGGACCTGTTAACTAATGTTATTTAAAGAGTGGTCCTAATTCCCAGTTACTTCTCTTCTGAAAATGCTTCTTGGGAAGAGTCAACTACCACAAAACTGAGAAAGGTGGGGGAAATGACTGTGTCCTGAGACCCCAGCCACTGACTGTTCTAAGCAGAGAGGGTCCTGTGAGGTAGGCACGTACTGTGGACCCTTTCCCTTACATTGTCCCCCCAACAATCCTGAGAGGTCAATACTTTTCTCCCCAGATTACAAATGAGAAAACAGGCTCAGAAGGACAGGTGAAGAAAACTCCCCCCACCAGCAGGACAAATGACAAAAGAGCTAGGAAGGAAAATATCTAAGAAGAATGAAGGATCTGGGGGTGGGGGGAGTGCTGAGGTCAGAGGTAGACAAACAATCAGTCAGAGCTACAGCTAAGAACAAGGCAGGTAAGGGCTCCATCATGAGGGCCTTGTCCTGTGGTGGGAGAGACAGACACTAATCAAACAAAATAATCGCATACCCACAATTACACATAAGTGCTACGACTGAGAATATGCTTAGAAGTTCCTGGTGCTATGGGAGTGTGTGACAGGGCTCAATTTGGTCAGGGGCGGTGACGGGGGGATAATGAGCATTGAAGATGGAAGGATGAGTAGGAATAAGTCACAGTGGGTGGAGAGAGAGAGTTTCAGGGGGAAGGAACAGCCTGTGCAAAGGTCCCGAGGTCATGTTGAAACAGAAAATTCATTGTGGCTGGAGCCTACCCAGGGACAGAGTGCAGGAGACAAGGGTGAAAAGGAGGAAGCCAGAGGAAACCATGGGGCCATGTGGGAGAACAGCCAGCAGGGGGGGCAGAATTCTCTGATGACAGCAGCCTTGCTCTTCCAAGACCTAGCCAGAGAGTCCCAGCCAGGCTGCATGGGGAGAAAGGGCTAGGAAAGGAAACCCCCACCAGTTTCTGTTTGTTTTAAGTACATTTTGTCTATTATCTGAATAGATAGGAAACACACTGCAAAATTCCCAGGTTGCAAAAAAGTATTCAGTGAAAAGTAAGCCTTTCTCCTTACTGGATTCCCAGCAGCTGGCTCTCCTCCTTATCCATTAATTGTGTCCATTCCCAGATTGTGCACATAAGAACACACACCATATTTGTTTTGTACGCTAATCTAGCCCTCCCCAGGGGATCTCTAGTTATGAAAGAAGCTAATTTGTACTGAACACCTACTGCACATGATTCTTTAATTCAACTGAGAGTTATGGACCACCTGACCTTGTGCTGAGCCAGTGGTTCTCAAATTTTAAATCCCCTGGAGGGCTGGTTAAAAACCGCAGATTGGGGACTTCCCTGGTGGCGCAGTGGTTACGAATCCGCCTGCAAATGCAGGGGTCACGGGTTCGAGCCCTGGTTCGGGAACATCCCACATGCCGCGGAGCAACTAAGCCTGGGAGGCACAACTGCTGAGGCCTGCATGCCTAGAGCCTGTGCTCCGCAACAAGAGAAGCCACCGCAATGAGAAGCCCATGTACCGCATCGAAGAGTAGCCCCTGCTTGCCTCAACTAGAGAGAGCTCACACGCAGCAACGAAGACCTAATGCAGCCAAAAAAAAAAAAAAACAAAAACAAATTGGATCATTTCACAGCCCTGATTTAAAAAAACCTTCTTTAAAACAAACAGATTGTTGGGACTTCCCTGGCGATCCTGTGGTTAAGAATCCACGCTTCCGCTGCAAGGGGCACGGGTTCGATCCCTGGAGAAGGAAATAAGATCCCAAAAGCCGCACGGTGGGACCAAAAAAAAAAAAGAAACACACAGATGGTTGGGCCCCACCCCTGGAAGAGCTTCTGCCTCCTTAGGTCTGGGTTGAGGCCTTATATTTGCATGTCTAACAAGTTCCCAGGTGATGCTGAGGCTGCTGGTCCAGGGACCGCACTTTGAGAACCACTGAGCTAGCTGCTTGTGGACAAAGTATGTGGACAGGAAGGCCTTATTCCTCTCCCACAAGAGAAGGCATGAACAGACACAAAGAAACACATACCAACAATATAGTTCATAAAGTGATAGATTCCATGAGGAAAATGAAGAGGGTGGAGGAGTGCAGGAAGGGGAAGTGCTGGAAAGTAAGGATAGGGTAGGCGTGGAAGGTAGCAACATTTGAGGGCACAAATCAGTGTTCCTTTTTGAGCAGTTGAAGTTTACAAAGCCAGGCAAGCACACACAAGAGGAGGCTTCTTGGGCCCAGGGGGGTGGTAATCTACAGACATAGGAGAGGTTAGAAAAGGGGGTCCACTCCCCCCCACCCCCACGGCGTGCACAGAGGCAGAAGGACTTGCAGAAGTGACTGAGTCGTCCGCGTTGAGATCCGAGGGCAAATCCGAGAGAGGAGAGTTGGAGAAGGGGGCGTGATCAAGAGCTGTGGATTCTGAGAGGGTAGAGAGGTGCCGCTTTGGGTTGGGTTGCAGGAGGGCCCAGAGACCCCAACAAGGCATTTCCATAGTGAGACTGAAGACCCCTGGAGCGCGGGGGTGAGCAGGGAATTTGAGGATTGGCGACCGCAGATGGTTCCTCGGGAAAGTTTTGTTCCTCTGGAAAGTTTTGTTGCTCAGGAAGCGGAGAAATGAGACGCTCCCTCAGGCGGATGGGGAGGGTGTTTAAAAGGTTGGAGTGGTGGAGTTTAGTTGGGGGTTGATGGGAGGGATCTCGGAGGGAGGAAGAAATGGAACATGCAGGAGAGAGGGGTCTGAGCCTTGAGAAGGGTAGAGCTGGCAGGGTCTGAGTGTTCAGAGAACTCAAAAGGTTCGCCTGCCCTGGAAACATCACTCATCTGAAATTTACAACCAACTCCAAAAGGAGAGCACTATTTTCCCCGTTTAACAGACGAGGAAACTGAAGCTCAAAGAGGTGAAGAGACACGTCCAAGGTCCCACATCTCAAAGAACAGGACCTCACTCGGTGTAGGGAGCCCGCGCTCCTCTCGCTGCCCCCGCTGCTCCTGCGGGCTCCGAACAAGACCCTTTTTTGTGTCCTTGCAGGGATGCCCTTTGGAGAGCCGCCCAATGGCAAAGAGGCCCGGCTGAGAGCGGGCCCGCGGGGTGGGGTGCCCCCCCTTCATCCTAGCTCCGCCCCCAGCGGCGCGGGGCGGGGAGCAGCGGGCAGACGCGGGGCGCGCGGGACTGGTAGAGCTGGCGGCGGCGCCCGGCTAGCAGTGCTGCCCGCGCTTCCCGGCCTTCGCGCCCACTGTCCGTGCCCGCCTTGCCCGTCCCGCCATGGCCGCAGCCGCCCTCCCGCCCCGGCCTCGCCCCGGGCCTGGGCCCCGGCCGCTGCCTCTGCTCCTGCTGCCTCTGCTGCTGCTGCTGCGTGCCAGCCCGGTGCGCGCTGACAGTAAGGTACGTGCGGCCCTCCGACTAGGGCGCAGCTCGGCGTGTAGCCTGGCGCGAGGGGGCGCTGTGGCTGGGGGTGCCGGCTAAGCATGGTGTCTGGGCCAGGAACAGAGGACCCAGAGGGGAGACTTAACAGGGAGGCCGCAGGGGCAGGGACCCTGGGAGAGGAGTGCGTGGGGGAAGAAGGGCTGGAGATAGATGGCAAGGGTGCTTGGGACCCCGAGCCTCTGGAAGGGGAGCTGGACACAGTCCAGTGCAGGGAGGAGGTCAGTACTGAAACCCCGGGCCAGGGAGAAGGGGTACGGGGTACTGGGAGCTTAAAGGCAACCCAGACAGGGAGATGCAGTCCCCAGCCTAGGGAGGGGATTCCCGGGAGCGCTGGGCAGGGGCAGCCTGGAGATCTGGCTCAAAGTTTCCATGGGAGGCTGACCCACGTGGAGACAGACCCCTGGGTAACTGCTACCCAGCGACTCCTAGGTTTGCAGCAGGCCCTGGGCCAAGGCTTTCAGGCCATACGTGGGACCCAATGAACCCAGCTGGGCTGGCCACTCTCCTGACCTCTGGGTGTTCCTTCCAGAGATCTGATGCACCCTCCAGAAGACACGGTGTCTCCAGAAGTGGCTGAGCTGTTCTCAGTTATGGCTGAAAGGATCTGCTCTGGTGTCAGGCAGACCTGGGTTCAAATCCCGCCTCCGTCTCTCAGCTAGGTGACCTTGGGCCTTTATGATCTCTAGATTAGTGAGATCAGGCCTGGATAATGCTTAGCATCACTCTGGCACCTAGTGGGTGTCCAATAAATGATACTGTGATTTTGAAATCTTACCACAGAGACCCCAAAACGGGGTGTGATCCAGAATGTAGAGAGGAGAAGCACTTAGAGTCAGTCAGAGCAGGGACCTCTTGAGCATGTTCTAGAAATGACCCGGTGAGGACTGGGTTGGGACTGGGGGCAAGTGAGAGGCAGGAGGGAGGCACTGCAGAGCATGAGAGTAAGAGTGACTTCTCTTGATGTCTCTCCAGCCTCTTTCCTGGGTAGGAGGTGAGGCTGCCCTGTCCACAGGCAGGTAAAGGGCAGAGGTCACTAGCCACATGGTAAGTAAATAAGCAGTGGGCACTGGCAGACCTTCAGCCTGAAGATTCAGCTCAGGGTATGCAAACAAATGAGCTGCAGCCCTAACCACGTGCTCCAAAGACAAGGAGGGAATGAGTATCATTCCCATTTTACAGATGGGGAAATTAGGATGTATAGAAAGACAGCTAGCTTGTGGATCAAAAAACCTAGGTTCTGGCCCTTTGTTGTTTTTTGTCTTTGTGACCTTGGGCAAGTCACTGACTGTTTCTGGACCTCCGTCCCCCCATCTGAAAAACATTGTCTCCCCAACTTCCCTTCCGTATAGGGTCTTCTAGGATTCCCTGACCTGGCTCAGGTAGGGGAACAAGTGAGCAAAAAACCCCAGCTAACCTGGTCAGCACTCTGCCACCTCTCATCTCTCTGGCTGGGAGGAATATTTGGTCTTGGGCATCCTCTGAGCCATGCAGAGGGCTGTAGAGCTTGTGGGGGAGGGCTCGCATTCAAAGCAAAGCAAAGACAAAGAAAACCCAACACCCTGTTTATGTAGTGAGTCAGCCAAACACTTGCTAGGTTGCGGGTGTGTGTGTGTGTTTATTTGTCCCAGGGCAAGCTGGGGCTGGTGGGGTGGGGAGGCACATCCTAGAGTTTGGAGGATGAAGCAGCTGGGGGACTCAGCACAGCCCTCCCCCAGACACCTCCCACCCCACACCACTCAGCCAGCTGGGAAAAATAAAAATCAAGTGATGGGTGAATTTACTCTGCATTCCTCAGCACAGTCGGGCTCCTGCTGGCTCTGTAGAGAGAGCTGTTTTCATTATCACCCTCCCTCCCCCAACAATCCTCCTTCCTCTTCAAGCCTGTCCTATTTTCTGAGGGTGAGGGGAGAGCCCTTTGGAAGGCCAGTCTGGGACTTGAAATCTATCTAGGGCCCTAAAGGGTTAAGTTGGCCCCTCCTCAGACTTCCTGGTCCTGGGCGGTCCAGCCTCACCTTCTGCCCAGTACTTTCAGGGGTACAGGGGCAGCTCAACCCCAGTACTCACCAAGGAACTCTGTGGTCTTGGCCAGGTCCTCACTCAGCGTGTTTTAATTTTGTGTTTATAACAAGGTCTCTCCTAAGCAGGACTTAGGGTTTCCATCTAAGGAAGTGCTTTGCCCATCTTGGGAGTGGGAGAAGGAGTTCACAGCTTCCCTGGCATATCTGAGGGGCTGCCCAGTGTGAAGGTTAGGATGGACAGACAGGTAACCACATGAAACCCAGGCACAGCACCAGAGACCTCTGGGAACCTGCTTTTTGCTGCGTGTCCTAGGAATGTGGCTAAGAATTCCCCATCTCTACCTCAGTTTCCCCATCTGTGAAAGGGCTGCTGGCACCTCATGTTCCCCATGCATCCTGGGGTGGGAAGGGGGTCTTTGGTCAGCCCTGCTGCTTATCAGAGGCCCGAAGACAGTGGGGAGGCCAAGGCCTGTGGCAGCTGGGCCAGGGCAGCAGGAGGGCTAGCACAGGCAGGCGGTGGTGTCCCAGGCTGGATCACATGTTCCCGGCAAGGCCGGTCCCAGAGGCTTAGGTGTTGCTGCCCCTCCACTCGGGGAGCTGCTGCCTGTGGGTGTAATCGGAAACAGGCTCCAGAGCAGGCAAGGGCTGCACAGTGATGGAGTCCTCCTTCTGCACACAAAGAGTGTGGGACCCAGTGAGGCCCCGAGGGCTCTCTCTGCAGGGAAGGTCTTGCTCCATCTCTCCTATTGGCTGGGGCACGGGAAGAGCATCCTGGGCGCCAAGCCCCTGCCCAGGATTTACATTCAGGATCTCACACAACACTCTAAGACTTCAGTGCTCCCTCCCCGTTTGACAGACTTGAACACTGAAGCTCAAAAGAGTCAGGTTGGGGCTGCTGAAAAATCCAAGATAGGGAACTTGGGGAGTTTGGAGATTCCTGGGACTCTAGGATTCTCAGCCTTTAGCGGGCATCCAAATACCTGGGGAGCCTGAGAGAGTCTGAGTGAAGGGATGTGGAGTAAGGACAGGGCATCTGCATTTTCCAAGTCATTCCACCCCAGGTAATTCTGAGGCACATCTCACATCTAGTTGAGAACTCATGGAGGTTTGTGGAGCAAGAGAATAACAGATCAACAAAAAGGAGCTTTTGGAAGGTTAATCCAGCAGAGAGGAGGCTCCTGTATTGCCCAGGTAGCAGCTGACGCAACCTGAGCTTGGGCTGCAGCCGGGGAGTAGAGACCAAGAGATTGAGATAGGAGATATTTAGAATGAAGCATCCATCGGAAGAACATGACTGATGGGTTCCAGAGTAGGAAGGAGGCTCAGAGACCTGGGTTGGGCAGGAAGGTAGGTAGACACGGGTTTGGGAGAAGATGCTGGGCCCAGTTTTGGATGGATTAAGTTTGGGGTACCTTTGGGGTGTATCCAGAGGGAGGTGTCCAGCTGACCATGGGCTCTAGGGGAGGTCCTTCCCTGCAGGAGGACATGGAAACTGTCTCTCAGTGAATCTGGGCTGGCCATGAGAGAACAGGGAAGATTCAACCTCAAGGTGACAAAATTTGAAACTGTTCTGTTTCTAGAACATTTCATCGGTTGAACCCCCTCTTCCCCATTCTGGCCAGATTTATCCATCTCCCTTCAGAAATACCAAGTACACCTTCTTGCCATCTTATTGTGGGATTTCCTTGCCAATTGCTAGGGAGCTTTTTAAGCACAAGCCACCCACACTTCTGGGGGCTTTGGCAGCAGTGTGTGCTCAGCAAGCCTGCAGGGAGGCATGGGGGGCTGAGGCAGCAACTCCAGCCCTCAGGCCAAGGGCAAGGTGGGTCAGGCTCAGTGGGAGCCCCATTTCCCCTGCCCCACCAAGGCCTGATCCAGGGCCAACATCTCTATCCCAGCTCAGTTGCTGGTGGAGAAGCCCTTGCCTGGTGATTACTGGTGGTCATAGGAGGAAGAGCATGTGAACTAAATTTTGGAGCCAGCCTGTGCTGTGTGACCCTGGGCAAGCCCCTCATCTTCTCTGATGCTCAGATTTCTCCTCTGCAAGATGGGTCTGTGGTGAGAGCAAAGAGGTAGAAAATGATGTACAAACGTGAGGGAGATTTATTGGGAGCAACTTCAGTAGCAAGTAGACAACAGTTGTTCTATGCCAGGCACTCTGCATGCATTGACTCATTTTAGCCTCAGGACAAGCTTATGAGGAAAGGAGTGTTATCCTCCCCATTTTACAGAGGAGGAAGCTGAGGCTCAGAGGGGTCAAGGTCATGCGGGGAGGACACGTGGGAGCTGGGATTTGAGCCCAGGCCGGGCTCCTTTCCATGGTGCTCTGCCGCCTCCAGTCAAGCAGCACAGGACATAGTAACCACAGGAGGTAGGGGCCTGCCTGGGCTCCTGGCAGCCGGGGCTGGAGCAGAGGCCCTCTTCTGACTCCATTCCTGACTCCTGGCCTGTGTCAGGGCCTTGGCCGCCCCCATCAGGACGTAGCACCTCATCTGAGGAGGGAAGGAATGTTGCGGTCTGATGTGGAGGCCGCTGCTGGTGGGGATGGGCGTTGGATTATGGGTGAGTCCTGAGGAAGAGGCCTCTCTGGCCTGGCCACACAGAACACACACACATCCCCTCACTGGGCTCTTACCCCAACCTGGGGGAGTGGGTGGGGGGTGGCTAGGGGTTCCAGCGGAGCCGGGAAGGGGGCCCAGAGTCTCAAAGAGAAGACAGGCTTACCATAGTAGCAGCGATCTAAAGAATGTACAGCATCCAAGCCTGGCTGTCCGCGTTCACAGGCGGGGAGAATTGCCCAGCAGAGCCCAGGGTACACTTCGCCCACAGACAACCAGGGACAAAGCTTCCACCCGTAGCCACCTCCTTCCCCACACTCATCCTCCAGGGGACAGCAAGTCTACCCACCCTGGGCTCTGATCCCCTTGAACAAGTCATTTGATGGCTCCAGGGCTATTTCCTCATCTGGAGGACACTGCTAAGAATATCTACCAGTGCACCCATGTGGAGAAACAAAGGGAAAAACAAGCCCCTGTCAGGATTCTTGGTGGTAATAATAACAACTACAACATGTTCCTGGTATTCCGTCTCTCATTTCTCACACGGTCCTTTGCTGGGTACGCACTAGCAGTACCCTAATTTTACAGATGAGGAAACTGAGGCACAGAGAACTTAAGTAACCTACCCAAGAGCACACAGCTGTAGGTGGCCCATGGCTGTGTTCCTAACCACTGCCCCACACTTCCCCAGCACTCAGTGAGTTCTCAGTAAATGTCTCCTCCCTGGGCTGTGCACCCCAGGCTTGCTTCCTCCACCCACCGCCTGTCCACAAAGCAGCCTGAGTGAGTGTCCCATGATGCAGATCTGACCCTGGCTCTCTCCTACTTAAAACCCTTCATGAATCCCCAGTGTTTTCGGGAATAAGTCCAGATCCTCAGCCAAGTTTCAGGGCCCTCCATGAGCGGGCTCTACCACCCCCAGCCTTAGCTCCTGCCACCCAGACTCTGCAGGCACCAGCCAGAGTCAACCTCCTCCAAGCCTCCAAAGTGCCAGGCCCTTGCTTGTCTTTGCATATATGACTTGCTCTCCCTGGAATGCTCTACTCGTGCTTAGAGATGTCCCCTGGGGTACCCTCCTCTGAGCAGTCTTCATGGGTGTCTTTTTCTGTGATCTCAGAGCTCACTACATCAGCTTCTCTCATGGTTGAGAAGGTCAAGGATGTACCTCTATTTCTTCTGCACCTCCAGCTATCACCCAGAGTCTGCCTGAAGCCAGGGGTTCAAACAGGTGTCTGAGGGCTCAGAGCAGAAATGGAGTGCCTGCTGCCCTTCCCCAGAGGGCCCTGGGACACTCATGGGGACTGGGCTTGGCAGAAAGCCCAAGGGAGCCTTGAACTCACCTGGGTCCTGGTGGCTTCAGTGAGAGCTTAGTAGCCATGAGGCCTGCGGTGTTGGTTTGTTGATTGAGCCATAAATAGCTGTGTCCTGAGAGCCTGGAAGCCCAGGATGGGCTGGCTGAACCAGCTAGGGCAGTGGCTGGCTGGGGCTCCGAGAGCCCGGCTGGTGTGTGAGGGCAAGGTAGGCTGGAGGCGGTGACTGGGCCTGGCACCTACCGCTGATCTCACCAAGCTGAGTCTTGCAGGCACAAAGTCCTGCTGCCCCAGGGACCAGTGACCACACTTAGACACTGGGTATGTGGCCTCCCAGGGTGGGATTGAAGGAAAAGGGAGGAGGGAAGGGAAACCACTAAATGGAGGTCATTTGAGCCTCACTATGAAGAGGCCGGGTATGGAGAGTCATCCATTTTACCACTGAGGAAATGAGGCTCAGAGAGGTCATGTAACCTGTTTAAGGTCACACAGGATATGGGGAGACAGATTTGTAGGAGATGCAGCATAAACCAGTGATTTCTATCTGGAGGCAGATATCCAAAGCTGGATGTTCCCAGGTGAAGCTGTGTGAACTTGTGACTTCTCCTCTCTGAGCCTCTGTTTCTTTAGCTGTATTAACAATGGCTCACACTTAAGACACACTCACTATTGCTTAGGCTCTGTTCTTTACCTATATTAACTCTTTTAATCCTCACGACAACTCCGTGAGGCAGGAGCCCATTTTACAAATGAGGAAACAGAGGCACAGAAAAATTGGGTTGCCCACAATCTCACAGTTACTGGCCTAGGCTCCAGACACCATGCTCTCAGCCCTGTGCTCTAGAGTGTCTGTAAAATACGGGCTTGTTGATCCAACAGATATTTCCAGGGCTCCTACTATCAGCCAAGCAGGCACTGTTCTGGGTATATAGGAGGGAACTAGACACAAGTCCCTGCCTCTAAAGGTGCCTTCAGTAGAGTTGGGGAGACAAAAAATAAGAAAACACAGATATTTCAGATGGTAGTATGTGCAATAAAGAAAAGCAAAGCCACTAGATAAGGGGACAGAGAGAAATGGGAGGTGTGTGGTCAGGGAAGGCTCCTCAGAGGAGGTAATGTGTAAGTTAATGTGAGGGAATGAACTCAGGGAATATCGGAGGGATAGGGGTTTCAGGATGAGGGTACCAAATCCGCAAAGGCCCCTGAGGCTGGAGTGGAGTGAAGGAAAGAGTGGCAAAAGGAGGGCCTTGAGGGAGGGTGTCAGCCCACATAGGTCTTGAAGGCCAGGCTAAGGACTTTGGAGGTAACGATACCCCCCGCCATGCACAGATATTATTAAAGGGTGTAACGCACCTGAAACCTGGGATGTAGTAAGTGCTCCGTAAAAGGTCTCCATTCATATTTTTTTACTGTTGTGACAAAATACACATAACATAACATTTACCACTTTAACCATTTGAAAGTGTACAACTCAGTGGCATTTATGTAGTACATTCATAATGTGTGCAACCATCACCACTACCTAGATCCAGAACATTTTCATCACTCACTCCAAAAGGAAACCGTGTACCCACTAAGCAAACGCTCTCCATTTGCTCCTCTCTCTACATCCTGGGAACCACTAATCTGCTTTTTCTCTCTATGGATTCGCCTATTCTGGATATTAAATAAGTGGCTCTTTCATTTAGTATAATATTTTTCAAGGTTCATCCATGTTGTAGCATGTATCAGTACTTCATTCCTTTCTATGGCTGAATCATATTCCATTGTGGGGCTATACCACGCCTTGTTTATCCATTGATCAGTTGATGGACATTTGGGTTGTTTCTACCTTGTGGTTATTGTGAATGGTGCTGCTGTGAACATTCCTGTACAAGTCCTTGCTTTAACACCTGTTTTCAATTCTTTAGGTATATACCCAGGGGAGTAGAATTATTGGGTCACATGGTAATTCCATGTTTAACTTATTGAGAAACAGCCAAACTGTTTGTCACAGCGGCCATTACTCTTTTCATTGTTGTTATTATTATAAGGCTTCTGTTTCCTTGTAAGGAAATTTGTTTCCTTCTCAGCCCACTCTAATGGTGCCCCCAAAGGCCAGGGGGCCCGGATCCTGCTACCTGTCCCTCCCTCTGCTTCTCTCCCCCTCCCTCCAGCGCTGGCCTTCGGCTCACCGGGGCCCCTCTTGCAGGTGTTCGGCGACGTGGACCAGGTGCGCATGACCTCGGAGGGCTCAGACTGCCGCTGCAAGTGCATCATGCGGCCGCTGAGCAAGGACGCGTGCAGCCGGGTGCGCAGCGGGCGGGCGCGAGTGGAGGACTTCTACACGGTGGAGACTGTGAGCTCCGGCACCGACTGCCGCTGCTCCTGCACCGCGCCGCCCTCCTCGCTCAACCCCTGCGAGAACGAGTGGAAGATGGAGAAACTCAAGAAACAGGCACCCGAGCTCCTCAAGGTAGACTTTCTGGAGTAAAGGCCGGGATGGGACCGCACTCCTGCGTGAATACCTAGCATAGGCTGGCGCTGGCTGTCCCTCCAATGAAAAGGCCACACGTTCTAAGGCAGGGGTCCCATTTCACAGGTGAGGAAACAGTGGCTCCCTGAGAGGAAACCAATTCCTGACTAAGAGCATTCGGCCAGTCAGTGATGGAGGCAGCATCCTTTGGCTAGCTTACCTGGATAGAGACCTTTACCATCTAGTAGCATCTATCCCAGTGTCCTGTGTTTTACCCAACCAGGTCATCTGTCAGCACCTCCACGTAGTATTTTGTGGCATTTGATTGTTTTTTATGTAATAACGTTTCCCATATTCACGTACCGCCTTCGTGCCAGATGTTGTGCTGAGCTCTTTTCTTTTTTTTTTTTTAACATTATTTCTCTAAATTCTTAAACCATTTTGTGAAGTATGGGATCTTTGTCCTCATTTTAGAGGCAAGAAAACTGAGGCTTGGAGAAGTTAGGTAACTGGCCCAAGCTCTCACATAATGACATGCAGCCGCAAGTCTATACCATATTTTTATGTAAATTTTGGGCTTATAGTCCCCTCCCCCCACCCCACCATAGGAAGATTAGAAAGAGGCGCCACTTCTAGGTGACACAGCCCTGTGCCGGGCCCACCACCAGGACCCATGGCTTGGACAGGCATGTGCAGGGAGACCACAGTCCCCCATCCAGCCTGGCACCTTCGTGCCATTCACACCATGCGCAACTCCGTGCTTGGCGGGCCTGGTGGGGCTGGGATGTGAACTCACGGCCTGCTGTGTCCAAAGCATGTGTTCTAAATCACCCTGCTCTCCTGTCTTCCTTTCTGTAATAGCCAGATAATTTGGTGGCTTTTGAGAGGATCCTTTTCTTTTATAATTCCTTCCAAACATGTGTCTGTTTTGCCCTTTTCGTGTCAAGAACCGTGAAGTTGACTGAGATGTTACCCTACTTGTAAGCTAACAAGTTAGCCTGCTAGTTTCATGGACGCTGGCAGTAGACACGAGCCAGAGACAAAGGACTTTATTACTCACAGTCGCCAGAGTGTCTCCACTTTCTTGCACTGGTTCTCCCACTCACTTCCCACAGGGTGATGCAGTGAGGGCCAGATAACACCTGCACACACAGTGGGATGTTTTCCAAGAGAGGAGCCCCAACTTAGAGAATCCAGATCTCTTATAATGAGCACCAAGCACACCTTCCCTGCTCCAGAGGGAAACACTCTCTGGATGCTCCAAGGCTGTTCACTCTGCAACAAGATGGCCTGGAACAAGGACAGTCAGTGCCTCTGCAGGCAAGACATGCAGAAAAGCAAGAGGCCTGGGAAGAACTGTCTCCCGACATTTGGCTAAAAATGTTTTCTTTAAATTTAACTTTAGTTTTATTTTTGTAACTACTGGATGGATACCAAAACTCTCGAAGTTGGGGGTGGTGACTGAATTTTAGGCCAAGTGGCCTCTTGACAACTTGGCAGTTCCTGGACCACACTGTCTCCCAAACCCAGTAGGGCCCTGCAGACTCCAGGCACTGAAGCCATAGGCCAGTCTTCAGTTACAGGGACAAAACCAACTTTTGCTCAAATCCACTTCTCAACAACTGAATTGTAAGCATACTTGACATGAGGATAGACAAAACCTTTTCCTAAATGCTGGCTAATTTAATCCTTCCTACAGCCCTTTGGAGAGGGAACTTATGTTCCCAGCTTTACTTGAGGGAGGAATCTGAGGCCCAGAGAGGAACTGTGACTTGCCTAACATAACACAGCAAGAAATCTGAATCCAGGAATTCTCTGCTGTGTCCCCTTGCCCAGTGGAGAGGTCACTGGGCAGTTCTCTCAGCCGGGAGCTGTCCCTTCAGTGCACAGCAGCCATGGGTGGTTTTATTCAGCCTTAAAGGACTGGAGTGGGGCAGTGGTGGGATTAACCCAGCAGGAGGGGTCGTAGGAGGAACACAGAGAAGATACTCTGCCTCCTTGACACTGTAGGAGTGTAAGTGAGTACCCGACAGGTACCCAGTGAGCCCCAAGAGGAGAAGTGGACAGAGGCAGTAGGAGACAGAGCTGAGGCCCCTCTCATTTGGCTAGGCTCCCCCTCCCTCAGTGGGCAGCCCCCCCAGGAGAGGAGGTTAGGGGAAGCCCCTGTGGAGGGGAACAGGGCAACCCACCCTATACCTGCCCCTGTCTCTACCCCAACCCTTCCCCTCAAGCTAAGAACTGCAGCTGTGATTTAGCCTTAGTTGCATGGCTCTGAGGAGGAAGAATGGGATTCTAGATTCCCTTTCCTTCTGGACCTGAATTCGGCATGGCCCCACCCTTGAGGAATTCCAGCCCTATGGGGACACAGCTCCTGACCCCAGTAATGGCAGTGCGGTCAGTGCCAGGCCAATGGACGTCCCAGGGACTGTGGGAACCCAGAGGAGGAGGTAACATTACAGCTGGGCTTTGAGGGATGTGTAGGAGTCCCTCGAGCAGAGCAGAAATAAGAACATTCTGGGTGAGAGTAAGTGGAGTGGGTGTGACCCAGGGTGCCTCCCTGCCCTCTCTCTGCCCCAGCCCCACTAGCCGCCTGTCAGTTCCACACTGTACTTCTCAAACCGTATGTGGTGAAAGACCAGCTTTTCAAACAATCTGTCAAGAACTGGGAATTCCTTGGCGATCCAGTGGTTAGGACTTGGCGCTCTCATTCCCAGGGGCCCAGGTTTGATCCCTGATCAGGGAACTAAAATCCTGCAAGCCACGTGGCTCGGTCAAAAATAAAATCTGTCAAGAACCAACACTCTTGTAAAATACTGTAAAAATGAATTGTTAGGAAAATGAATTGGAATAGAAACAGGCACGCAAAATACAAGTCCAGTGTTGTATTATTAGAGTCTACAGATATAAAATTTCTCTGTCAAATGGCTCTGAAAGTTTATAAAAGCCTACGCTTGCTTTTTGTAATTATTTTATCACAGACTGGTAACGAGCAGCTTGGACTTGTGCTGGTCCGCAGACTACATTTTGAGTTGCTTGGCTCAAACACACCATGTGTCTTCGCACCTCCAGCTCTTTGCACGAGCTGTTCCCTTTGCCTGGAATGTCCTTCTCCGGCCATCGTTGTCTGATTTGTGCTCCTTCTCCAGAGCTCAGTTCAAACAAAACTTCCTGCTGGCAGACTTTACTAAACCACACACACTCCCAGACAAGGTCAGTGCCCCATCGTTAATGACCTGGGCACCTGTGTGTGTTCCCACCTGCATTCCCCGATCCAGGCACCTCTGTGTTACTCTGCACTCCTTGACAGCCTGTAAAGGACCATGAAGGCTCGTGTCTGTATTGTCATCACTGTCCTGAATGCCTGGCCCAGAGTGAACATTTGCTGAGGCCGAAGAAGGTGGCAGGGGCAGATCAAGAAGGGCTTGAATGCCAGGGTCAGGAGATAAGTAGTCACACTTGGGCAGTGGGGAGCCACAGCAAGTAATCTAGCAGGGAAGAGACCCATGGTCAAAGCTGTGCTTTGGGAAGCCAGTTTTGGTGGCCATGAAGGCAGCAGAAGTGAAGCTAGAAGGTCCCATTTAGCCGCCTGGAATAGTAATCATTGCTGGTATTCATGAAGGCCTTGCTGTGTGCCCATTCTGAGCTGAGCCCTATCCAGACGGCACTGCTCCGCTCCACAACCCTGCTGCCCATTTCACAGAGAAGGAAGCTGAGGCCCAGGAGAGTCTCCGTGCATGGTCCTCAAACTGAACTCCACAGAGCCCTGGGGTACCATGCAACCCCTCGGAGTCTGAACAAGGTTGTAGGGGAACAGAGAAGACTCGAGGCCCTATCCCTGCTTCCACCAGAGCCCCCACCCCCTTTTTCTGTTTTAGAGATCAAAGTCTATTCAGAGAAGAACCCTCTGGCTTAAAACAGCTTGAACACCCCTGGGAGAGTGGGAGTAAAACTGTGTTGGAAACAGCTGGCCAAGGCCAGACAGGAGCGCCACCATGCTCAGGCCCTGAGAGCGTGTACAGGGGTGGCTGGAGGAACCACCCGCTGGAAGCAAGGGAAAGCTGATCTCCCAACCGGCTCCTTGTGCCAAGGTTTCCCTGACACTCTCGCTGGCATCTTGGCCACTCTAGCTAGGATGCTGGGCTACTAGATGCCCACACCAATCAGGCATTGCCTACAGGCTGCCCCAGGAGGACGTAGACTCCCAGGCATTTTGGTGGGCAAATGGCTCTTTGAAGAGAGTCACAGATGCAGACTGTTAAAAGGAGGCACATGGAAGCCAAGGCTGGGCACAAGAAACAGAAGCAGGGATCCAGGGGATGTGGATGGAGCTCCCCCCATGTCCACTACACACCTCGTGGGGTTGTTCAGGATTAAGTGAAATGGCTCATTCAAGCCCCTATACAGTGTCTGCCATATGGAGGTGCTCAAAAGAGCTTTTCTTGTGTTTATGAGCAGGCTGGGTCTAGTCAAGCAGATCACTCTGAGGCTCTGGGGTTCATGCTCTGGTGGGGCTCCTATTGCACCCTCTGTGCCTGGCCGCGTGCTGTGCCTTTTCCCTAACCCTCACCCTTCCCCGGGCAGCTGCAGTCCATGGTGGATCTCCTGGAGGGCACCTTGTACAGCATGGACCTGATGAAGGTGCACGCCTACGTCCACAAAGTGGCTTCCCAGATGAACACGCTGGAAGAGGTAAGGGCAGGGCTCGAAACAGAGGCCAGGCTGGTGCAGTGCTGGCGGCCAAGGGCAGTGTCCGAAGGGGCCTAGGCAATTCTGTCTGGACCCTGGTGGCTGTTAGAAGCTGGACTCCTGCAGGGAGCTGGGAGAAGGAGATACAGGCCACAGGGTCCAGCCTTTGAGGAAGAGGTCTGACTGGGCCTCAAGGGCCTGTAGGAAGCTGGAAGGCTGGGTGGAGAAACTGAGGCACCTGCTGGTTGTATGAAAGAGGTGCAGAGGGGGCTGAAACTTGCAGTCGCCCTCAGTTCCTCAAGACCAGGGCCCATATATTGCACAAGTCTGGGGCAACCATTTGCATGAAACACCAGCATTGTGCAGGACTGGCCAAGCTCACGGGGGCCAGGCTCGAGGTAGCATGGCTGTTCAAGGACCCACCTACCGTGGAGGCAGAGGTGCTAAGTGTCTTCTCCTGGTCAGGGTAAATGTGCTGGAGGGCTGGGCGGGTGGCTGATACTGCCCCCTGAGGACAGGGACAGAGTTGAGTGAGCATGGAGGTTCAGGCTGCAGGTTTGAGGTTTGCATCTCTGCTGGCACAGCCTGGCCTCCGCCTGTTTCCTGCATCCGGTCCCTGCTGGGCTGCTGGGAGCCTGGGGATATGCAGCTGCCAGGAGGGGCGTGAAGGCTTCCTTTCCCAGCTTCCTTTCCACAGGGAGGGGGGCACCTGGGCATCCTGTGACCCACGAGAGGAGATTAACCCCTTACTCAGCCCAAAGTTGGGGTCACAGTGGCTTCAATTATTCAAAAAGTGTTTGGTGAGTATCTCTTATGTGCCAGGCCCATGCCAGCATGGCAGAATGGTAACAATCGTTGAATTTCTACTGTGCACCAGTATTTCCTGTGCATCTAGTACATGCCAGGCTCTCCTGTTGTTGGTTCTACAGTTAGCCTCCTTTGACCTCTCCTCTGGTAATCTTAGGAAATGTTAACTCACTTCACGCAACTGTGAGCCAGACAATCTGGAGGGTATGTCTGCAGAGCCTGGAACAAACCAGAAATGATTTCTGCAGCCACAAGGAAATGATTTTTAAATTATCTTCTGTTTTGCATTATCTGTGCTTTGCTTCTGTTCACTAAGTGATAGCTATGAAAAAAAAAGAAAAAGAAAAAGTTTTTGCTAACACTGGGGGGAGGCGGAGAGAACAGCCTCACTGAGGAGGAGATGGCTTCTTCTGCCTAAGGGAAAAACATCGCAGGAGGTCAGGTGACAATCTGGGGTCCCAGCTTCCTTCTGCTTTCTTCCCTTACATCAGTGTTCTCAACCAGGGGTGATTTTGCTCCCCAGGGGACAGCTGGCACTATCTGGAGGCATTTCTGGTTGTCACAGTTTGGGGGAGGTGGGTGGCGGATGCTATCGGTCCTAGCGGGCAGAGGCCAGGGATGCTGCTAAACATCCTACAGTGCACAGGGCAGCCCTACAGCACCCAAATGTCAGTAGTGCTGAGGTTGAGAAACCTGCCTTACACAGTGTGCCTTCTGTCCACCCTGTGATCCAGGTGGGAGTGGGGCTAGGGGCTGCTAAAGCCAGGCAGAGTCCCCAGCAGTAGGGAGACAAAGAGGCAGGGCAGGAGAACAAGAGGAAGAGTAAAGGTGGGGCTTGGTGCAGTGGGAGGAGCCAAGCCTGCCCAGGAGAGAAGTCGGAGGCCTGGAGACTAGGAAGGGATCAGAGACCGTAGCAAAACCCCACAGAGTTCCGGTGTTTGAGTATTTTATTAAAAAGAGGTATTTATGTATTACTTGCTAAATTAAAAGGTAATTTTAAAGTAGCAAAAGATTGGTAGCAACTTAAAAGGTGGATCCGTAAGGGACTGGCTAAATACATTTTGGCCCATCCATACAGTGGAAACTGTGTGGCGAGTAAAAGGTATGGGGAGTGCTATATATACAGATATGCAAGAGTTCCCAAAATAGGCTCAAGTGAGAAAGCAACGTGCAAAGGAAAGGAAGGCAGGGAGGAAGGGAGGGAACGCCCCGCCCGTTCCCCCAGGCCCTGCTCAGGAGACTGGGCAGCAAAGCCTTATGGCAGAAGCTGGGGTGTCCCCCGGGGCTGGGGACAGTCAGAGGCTGGAAAGGTCTTGGGTCCCGCCCCCACAGAGTATCAAGGCCAACCTGAGCCGGGAGAACGAGGTGGTGAGGGAGAGCATGCGCCACTTCAGGGAGCAGCTGGGGCACTACAAGAACCACTCAGCCATCATGATGAGCATCAAGAAGGAGCTCTCCAGCCTGGGCCTCCAGCTGCTGCAGAAGGACGCGGCCACGGCGCCCGCCGCTGCCCCAGCCCCCAGGCCTGGCAGTAAGGCTCAGGTGAGGCCAGGGCTCTTGTGACGGGCCAGAAGGTGGGTGGGCTGGGAGCACAGTGTGCCAGGACCTTGGCCCTGAGGGCCAGCTGGGTGGGGCTTCGGGGCTGCGGGATGGGCCGAGGGCTGGCACAGCGGGGGAGTCCGTGGCAGGGCGGGGGCAGGGGCTGCCTGCTGCTCAGTGAGCCGTCAACACAGGTGAACTGGGGGCAGACATGGGGCTCCAGCCCAGGGACACGGTTGTAGAGATGACCCTCCCTGCCTGGTCCTGGGGAACCAGGTCGGCTGCGGCAAAACCACTTCTAACCTCCCCTGCTGCGGCTGGGCCCCTGGCTGGGTCAGGCCTGCTCATGGGTAGATGGACAATGCCTTGGGGACCCCAGCCGACTAATACCACTTCATCCAACCCATCCTGGGGTGGAGAACTCCTGCAGCAAACACCCAGCCTTCCATATTCAAACTCAGTGCACAAAGTGAGCAAAGGCCCTCACCAGGCTGAGCCACCAGACACACAACACACCTTCGGGCAGATTTGAAAAAGGCCCTCTTGTAGGCAGACATGCTGCAGAAAAGGCTCTCCCACAGGCCAGATAAATTAAAAGGAGGCGCCCCCTTTGGGTGGATAAATTGTACAAAGGCTCCTTCCTGTGACAGACACGTACCAGGGTGTGCGGCTTGGCAAATGGAGTACAGACTAGACTTCAGTCCCATTCGTGCCCTTTTGACCAGTTCCACATGCAGGATACAGCCCACCACTCCCACAGCGGCCTTGTGTTTTGGTGAGTGGAGGAAAAAGGGAGCTGACTTCTTCGCAGACATTATCTCAGTTAATCTTATAGCCACCTGCGAGGAAGGATGCTCGTCGCCAGTTTGGCAGATGAAGAAACACGGAGCGGGGTCACTCAGAGAAGGTGGCTGTGTTGGAACCCGGGCCTGCCTGGCGGCCAAGCCCACGCTCCTCCTCTCCACCCCTCAGCCTCCGTGCTGACATTTTGACAATGGGGCTATTTGTGTCTGCAGCAGGGACCGCCTAGATGCTGGTAAAGCAGGAGGAAGCCTAGTGCCTTGACCCAGAGCTGCCTTCCTGCTCATTCGTGTGCCAATTCCACAGTAAGAATGAATCCTCCTTGGGCAGTGGCACAGAAGGTCTAGATCCTGTACTTACTGTATCTCCTGGAGACCCTGCCTAACAATGGGTGATGTCACCGGCCCTAGGTTCTTGTGCCAAGCCAGCATCAGAGGCATTTAAAAGGAAGCAAAAATAACAAAATTCACAAAATGTTAGAAACAGCATGCCCTAAGGTCAATGCCCCGGTGACCAACCATCCCAGTTTGCCGAGGACTGAAGGGTTTCCCAGGATACAGGACTTTCAGTGCTAACACTGGGAAAGTTCCATCACACTGTAATGAATTGGTCACCCTGCCTTGGGGCCTGAGAACCTCTCCCTGCCCACACACAAAGATCAATGAGTGAGAGGGACAGGGATGGGAAGCTGACTTCCCCAGGGAGCACACCATTGTAGTCTACCCGCAGCAGGGAGTGTACAGGAGTTGGGAAGTAGAACAGGAATCTAACCTATCAGGCTGGGCTTCAAGCCTGCAGGGGAGCTAGAGAGCTGAGTGGGGAAACTGAGGCACACCCCACTCATGGATGTAACTATGGGAGGAAAGCTGTGACTTCATGAGCACCTGGGATGCAGGGCCAGGAGCGACATGGCCATTACCAGTCCCCACATGCTGAGCCTCCTGATGCCCCGCAACATCCCTCCTACCATCCTCCAAATCTGAGACTTCCCTTCTCCCCCAGGACACAGCTGGAGGGAAAGGCAAAGACAACAACAAATATGGCAGCATGCAGAAGAGCTTTGTAGACAAGGGCCTCCCAAAACCTCCTAAGGAGAAGCTGCTGAAAGTGGAGAAGCTGAAGAAGGAGGGCAAGGGCAGACTCCCCCAGACCACAGCCAAGCCCCGGGCCCTGGCCCAGCAGCAGGCTGTGATCCGAGGCATCACCTACTACAAGGCGGGCAGAAAGGAGATGACCGAGGCCGTGGCTGGTGAGTTAGAGGAAGATTGGAACCTTGGGGAGTGGGGGCCCCTACAGGGACCCAGGGTCTTCTCTACAGTCAGACTGCCCCAGATCTCAGCTCCATGGGTTACCTGTTGGTGCCCTTTGCTCATCCATACAATGGTGCCCTTTGCTCGTCCTGGGGTTGTTGGGGATGAAATGATCAAATCAACACAAAGGGCCACTCAGTTCCTCTCCAGTAGTTATAGCTGTCTCCACCCTCACTGGCCTTTTCCTTCTTCATTGAAAGATATGCGGAAGGTTCACTATGTACGTGCTGTACCTTCCGGACTTTCTGCCTAACACGGAGCTCACAGTCTCGTGGGAAAAAGCATACCCATAACCAGGCAGCTGCCTCTGGTGGGCGGGCAAACGCAGGGACCAGACCAGGGTTCTGGGAAGTGACCTGGGGCCTTTGAGGCACCTCCCGTTTCCAGACTGGCCTTGGAGTGGATGGCCTCTCCAGCACCTCCCACTCTTTTCCCCCCAAAGAAGAGCCCACAGACTCTTGTATCTTTCTTACAGCTCCCTGCCCGATCACAGTGAAGGACAACAAAATAATGAACCGAGAAACAAGAGACAAAATTTCCAAGAGTTCCCAAATTTCTGGGCCATCCCCACTGGTGTGGCTCCTGATTCTTCCCCTGAGCCCCTCCCCAGATGCCTGCTCTCCTCTGATGTCCCTGAGAGGTGTCCCAAGCCTGCTCCCCCTTCCAGGGTCCTGCTGACCACCTCCTCCAGTGAGGTTCTCTGCCCAGCCCATGCCCAAGGGGGCCAGGGGTAGAACTGTGAGGGACCAGTCTCCCAAGAGCCTCCTCAATTCTTGGCCTCTCAGGGCTCAGGGGCCTCTTCTCCCAGCTCCTGGTGCCAGCTGCTGGCTCTGAGTCCTGCCAGGTCAGCCTAGCCACGGCATAGAGCCTCTGACCCCTGGCCAGGGCTCTGCCCAGGAACAGCTGCAGGCATCTGACTCTGCCAGTGAGGGCCGTGGGAACAAGCCCCTGCCCTGGCAGGCTGCCAAGGCTGGGCCCCACCGAGGCCTGCTGACCAGAGGGGGTGCCCGCATTCCCGAGAGACTCCAGGGGCTGCTCCACAGCAGGGCCTGGCTAAACCCCCGTGCAAAGAGGAAGCCCAGCAGGGAGAGAAAAGGAAGAAGTCAGGTGATTGTCTTGGAGTCAAGGGGCCTCAGTGCATCTCTGGGGGCCACACCATCGCGGTAACAACAGCGGCATTCCTTTGTCTCTGGCATCACAGCCTGCTGAGTCCTTTCACACATGCTGCTGCACTTGATCCAGCAGAGGAAACAAGCTCAGAGAGGTGAAGTGACAGCCTCTAGGTTTCACGGCGAGTTAGTGGGACTGGAACCCAGAGGCTGAGGAGTTTTTGTCCCCTGCGCTGTGCCACTGAGTCTTTCCCTACCCAGACCCCATCCATTCCAACCCAGGAAAGCGTAGGTCAGGGAGGACGCAGAGATGGCCCCAAACCAGTCCCACGGAGATGAAAAAGTCCTCCTATCAGCAAAGCCCGTGCCAGCAGGAGTGGAAGAAGTGGGGGAGGGATGCCAAGAAAGCTGAGAGATGGGAGATAGGAGATGAACGAGGGGGCAGAGACAGAGAACTGGGGTCCAGAGGTGACGGGAAGCTGGCTGCACCTGCCCTTCCCTACCTGAAGTGGCAAATCCTGGGTGAGAGAAACTAGAGGGTGTTTCCAGGGCAGCGGACTAGGAGAAAGTCTGTAAAATGGGAGCAAGGGTGTCTGCCTCCTGGAATTGGATCCAGGAAATGAAAGAATTGGTACAAAGGGACATTGAGGGGGGAAAGGGGTCTCACATCTGGCACCTCATGTTCGCCAGGATCTGTGCAAATGTCTTGTGCACATTTTCCTCTAATCAACACAACAGCTTGACGTGGTGGACCTCATGACTCATTTCACGGAAGGGGAAGCCAAGGCCCACTGAGGCAGGGGACTTGGCCGAGGCCACTCATCTCAGGGGCCTATAGCCAGTCTGCTGACCATGAAGCCTTCCCCACCTCCCACTTTTCAAGGCCTTTCACTCCTTAGGGGCCACCCGCACATCTCCCCCATGGCCCCAGCGCTGGGACCCAGTGGGCCTGGACCCCGGGAAGCGGCAGTGCTGCTGGGATGTGAGCACAGGGTCTTCTCTCCACAGATAACGCCCTCAAGGGCACTTCCTGGCTGGAGCAGCGGCCACCCCGGGTGGAGGGCAGGCAGCCTGAGCCCAACTCAGCAGAGCGTGATGAGACTGGGCCCAGGGCCTCTGAGGGAGCGGACTTGGCCCCTGGCACCCCTGCCTCGGATCCCACCCCCACCCCTACCCTGTCTCCCATCACTAGTCCTCTGCCCACCACGCCACGTTCACGCCCAGAAGTCCCCAGCCAAGGTGAGTAAGCCTCCCAGGAGTCAGCAAACTACAGCCCGTGGGCCAAACACAGCCTATAGCCTGTTTTTGTACAGCCCTTGAGCTAAGAGTGGTTCTTACATTTTTTAAGGGTTGTTAAAGAATATGGGACAGAAGTATGTGGTCTGGAAAGTCTAAAATGTTTGCTATCTGATCTTTACAGAAAAAGCTTGACAACATTAACAGTGAAACAAGGTAGTGTTTCCAACAAATTCTTCTTAAAACGTCACCTAGAACCCCATCATCAAATCCAGCAACTATTTTCACTTCTGTATTTCCTCTGTCTAGTCTTTGGCCCTGTTTTTATCTCCATGTTTATAGTTTTGGCTTGTGTCTTTGGTAGAAATCTTCCTTATTAAGTCATCGATCGATAGAGCCCGTCCTTCTGGAGGGCATCTTGGCTACCTGTGATAACAAGACAAAACCATTCCCTACTTTGGTCCACGTGCATTCCACTTCTAGGAATCTCTTTCCTAAAGGATCCATCAGATATGTGAACAACAGCTGCAGCTTAACTGGTTTCCTTGCAGCCTATTTCTAATGTCAGAAAACTGAAAATAATCTAAAGGCCTAACACTGAGGGGACTGGTTAAATAAATTCAAGGGCGCAGCTGTCTGGCGGCCTGGTGGAACCTTGAGATCACATCATTAAAAGGCCATTTAATGATGTGAGAGATTGCTCAGTGGAAGGAAAAAACAGGATACCTAAAACTGTATATTCAGAATCATGTTTTTTTTTAAGTATGTCTGCATGACTATACATGCAGAGAAAAAAAAGGAAAGGAAGGAAATACAACATGTTTAAAAATTTCTTTGAATAATAGAATTTTGAATGATTTTTATTTTCTCCATTCTCCTTTTCTGAATGTTCTGTGTTTTCTACAATGATCAGACATTGCTTTGATCACGAAGAAAGAAAAAAGAAATACATAAGCCTGCAAACAAAACCTCAGGAGGGATTTAAGTAAGACCCAGATAACGTTCCCAGGACTGTTGCTCTGGCTCAGCGTCTGTGGGTCTGTGTACCAAATGCTGCACCCCTTGCTCCCCACAGGCAGAGAGGCGAGCTGCGAGGGCACCCTCCGGGCCGTGGACCCCCCTGTGAGACACCACAGCTATGGGCGCCATGAGGGAGCCTGGATGAAGGACCCCGCTGCGAGGGATGACAAGATCTATGTCACCAACTACTACTATGGAAACAGCCTGGTGGAATTCCGCAACCTGGAAAACTTCAAGCAAGGTCAGGGACCCCTGTGATGGGAAAGAGGCAGGTGTGGGTAGCCTAGGGAGGGTCCCCCATGGAGACTTGGCCCTCCTTTGCCTTGTGGTTTCCTGTGGTCCAGACTTCCCCTGCCTGGCCTAGCTCTGAATGGTCAGCCACCCCAAGAAGAGGAGTCTGGGGGCACCCCCTATGTGCTGGCCCCAGGCCAGAAGCTGGAATGCAACAGCAAACAAGATGGACATGGTCTTGCCCTCATGAGTGTAATTTACTGTCAAGGGTAACAATGCTTAGAATTTCCACTTGTTGAGGGCTTATTATGTGCTAATCACCAGTGTGTATCAGCTCACGATATCTTTGAGGTGGGGGTTATCACCCTGTTTTACAGATGAGCAGAGCCCTAGGCCTTACAGGACCTTCAGGTCTGGGCAGGGAAGGGCAGAAATTTGGTTATCAGATCTGGAACATGATGAGGGGAAAGGGTCATTTAGACATGAGCTGCCCTCCAGAAATGCACAATCTGATGTGCATGGCAAAGGCTTCAAGAAACAATTTCAATATAGTGCTAGAGGGAGGCCTCGGGGGCTATGGGGACCCAGCCTGGAGATCAGGGAAGACTTTCCAGAGGAGGTGATGCTGAGGCATTCCCCAGGCAGATAGGATGGGAAATGGCAGTCTAGGCAGAGGAAACAGCGTGGGCAAATGCCCTGAAACAAAGCACAGGGGCTGGTAACAGCCTGTATCTAAATCCTGGCTGTGCTGTTCCACAACCAGTGACCTTGAACCCTCTGAGCCTGTTCTCTCCCCGGCAAATGGGATAATAATAGTACCTCCTTCATGGGACTGTCTTGATGGGATCAGATAACTGGCCCAGCTCCAGGCCCATAGCTCACTCAGTATCCTTGCTGGGCCACCCAAGAGCCCTGGTCCCTGGCCTCCCTGGTCCCTGGGGTGGGCTGGGGTTTTTTCGGGAAGCTCTGGTGTGACCTTCCGCCCTCCGCACGCAGGCCGCTGGAGTAACATGTACAAGCTGCCCTACAACTGGATTGGCACAGGCCACGTGGTATACCAGGGCGCCTTCTACTACAACCGCGCCTTCACCAAGAACATCATCAAGTACGACCTGCGGCAGCGCTTCGTGGCCTCCTGGGCGCTGCTGCCCGATGCGGTGTACGAGGACACCACACCCTGGAAGTGGCGCGGCCACTCGGACATTGACTTCGCCGTGGACGAGAGTGGCCTGTGGGTCATCTATCCCGCTGCGGATGACCACCATGAGGCCCCGTCCGAGGTGATTGTGCTGAGCCGCCTGGACCCCGGCGACCTGTCAGTGCACCGTGAGACCACGTGGAAGACGTGGCTGCGGCGAAACTCCTACGGGAACTGCTTCCTGGTGTGCGGCATCCTGTACGCCGTGGACACCTACAACCAGCGGGAGGGCCATGTGGCCTATGCCTTCGACACGCATACAGGCACCGACGCCCGCCCGCAGCTGCCCTTCCTCAACGAGCACGCCTACACCACCCAGATCGACTACAACCCCAAGGAGCGGGTGCTCTATGCCTGGGACAACGGTCACCAGCTCACCTACACCCTCCACTTCGTGGTCTGAGCGAGACCTGGGCTCACGGGAGAGGAGTGGCCGTGGGCATGGGGGGCTCCCCACAGTGACTCCTGCAAGGGACTCCCTCAGCAAATATTTATTTACTGGGCCCAGGCCTGGAGCTAGGTGCTAGGCAGTGGGCACAGCCAGCGTCAAGCTTCCTCAGCACTCAGTGGAGTAATAATCACTTACATTTGCACAACACTGCCAAGAGCTTCATGTGCACTAACCCACTTAATCCTCCTGACACCCTTGGAGGTAGAGACAGTTAAGCCCATTTAACAGGTGAGGAGACTGAGGCCTCACTTTGGATCCGGCAAGCCCATTTTACAGATGAGACCTGACCATGCTCTACCCTAACCTCTCCCCTACCTCCAACCCTCTCCCCTCTCCCCTCATTTCTCTTGTTCTCTCAAGTCTATCTCCCTTCCCCGGGGCTACTCAAAACCAGAGGCCTTTGGGACCAACACACTAGTGTTGGGTGGAGGCCCAGCTCTGCGTGCCACCCCAGGCCCCTGTTCTGACGGAGCTGTTGGTGGCCCTGGGGCTTTGGGCCCTTTGGCTAATGGGCTAATGTCCTTGTTCCATGCCTTTGGCCAGCCCCCCATCCCCACCCCACCCACCGTCTGACCACATTCCAAACCTCCACAGTCACCCAGCCACTGAGCAGAAACCACACCCCGAGAAAAAATACCAGCCCCCGTTCCAAGACCCCCCCCCCCAGCCCGTACTCGTTTTTATTTTCTCTTATTCTTCATCAGTGCCGTCATTTGTTCCTGCAGCAGCAGCTGAGAAGGCTGCAGGCGGCTGCAGCAACTCTACCAGGGTGGGGAACTGGGCCAGGCCCCGAGGCTCCCTCTCCACCCAGAAGTGCTGGCTTTGGCCACATACCCAGGCTGTGGGACCTCTCCCCAGTCCCTCCCAGAGCCTTTGCGCCTGGGGTCCACCTCATCCTTTCTCTCTGGGCCTTTGAACCCACAACCTATATGCACTCAGGGATACCTCCAGGTCGGCCACGAGCAAGACCCTAGGCCTGAGGCTGGGTGGCACCAGGATGAAACAGGTTTCTTCTTCCTTGTCAGTCCTAACCTGGTTATTTGGTGGGCTGGCCTGGGGGACCGGGGGAGGCTGAGATCTGGGCAACCAGGTCCAGAGGAGGCTTCGGACCTTCTGGGTGCAGGGAGGAGTCAGAGGTGAAAGCTGGGAGGGAAGGAGAAAGGGATCTGTGGATCAGACTTTTCCTGGCTTCAGAGATAATGGTGCCAGGGCTGCCCCGAGCCCAGGACTTGGGGCTGAGGGTGCACAGGTGGGCTCCCCCGAGCCTCAGACCCAGCAGCCCCGGGGACAAGACCTTCAGGCCTGCCCCACATCTGCTTTGAACAGTATTTTTAGAACTGGAAGAAGTTCTCCAGTCTGACTCCCTATATCTACAAAGGAGAAATAGGCCCAGAAAGGTTTAGAGAATGGCTCAGGGCCACACTGGGAACAGGACCCAGCTGATCTCCTTCCAGAAGGGCTTTGTCTTTATCCTTTATTCTCCACGCTCAGAGGCAGCTAGGCAATAGACCACCCAGCACCCAAGTCATCCCAGCACCTTTGAGGGGTGTTTACTGCTGATCTCTACACAACCCCGGACCCTGCTTCTTTCATTCTGTCCCCATGCCAGCTCCCAGGTATCTGTATATATGAACACCCAGCTGCCATGTTGGGAAATTCAGCTGCATACCCAAGAGTGTAAAGAAATGCATTTTGTGCAGGATACATTTCTTTCAGGCATTGTCAGGTGGTGATGTTTTGTTTAAGCCGTAACTCACTCCAGAAGTAAAGGGGAATGATGACGCCCAGCCAAGCAAGGCCTGACTCATAGTGGTGAACACATCCAGCCTCCCCCGCCCAACTGAACTCTGAGGGCTCCACTTAGAAACTCTTCAGGGGGCTGCAAGTCCCAGCCTTTCCCTTGGCCCTGGGTGTGGGTTTTAGAAGACTCTGTCTTTCGTGATATCACAGCCCAACCACGTGAGAAATGTTCAGGCTCCTCTTTCCCCATTAGTCTTAGAAAAGGGAAAGTTAGAATGGACCAATTTTGGAAAAGGACAAGCAAAATGGTTTTCTCGGGGAGAGGATGCTGGCTGCAGCCTCTAAACATTCACTAAGCCCCTTCTGTTTTCAGGCCCTTGTATGTAGGTTATGTTGTAGGTACAATTATTTTCCTCATTTACAGATAGTCAAACTGGAGCCCAGAGAGGTTAAGTGGAGGCAGGGTCAAGTGGAAAGCCAGGTTTCCAAATCGGTAATATAACCTGAGCATCAACAGTGGGCTAAGCAAGCCATGTGCATATTCTTGCATCTTCACAACAGTGGAAGGTATGTACTCTGAGTGTGTCCATTTTACAGACGAGGAAACTGAGGTGAAGGGACTTACCCAAGCACAACAGCTTAGCCTGTTGCACAGTCAGGTTTTCAGGGCTGGTCAGCACATGTTCTTTGCCAACTCTGTGTCACTCTAGCAGCAGCTCCAGAAATGGTGGTCGTTGCATTTAACCAGTGTAGCCAAACCACGAATTGCATCTACATAGGAGACCCAAGAAGGAGGTTGGGGTCAGTTTATAAAGAGCCTTGAATGCCAAACCAGAGAAAAGAAAATTCCAAGACAACTGGATTTTGTTCTGTTGGTGACAGGAGGCAGGGAAGAGTTTTTGTTGTGGGATTTATTACAGTTGGTAACAGGTACTTCAAACGAAGGAGAGGGCTAGCTTTTCCTACCGACCTCAGCTGTGACAGCAAAGGAAGTTGTCTCTGGTGTTTCTGAACAACATGCTATGTGAAGGGGCTTTGGCTGCCACATTTGAGTCCTCCCAAGAGATTTCTAGACCTTAATATTTAATTTGCTCTGTCTGGGAGGCAGCCCTAAAGGTGAGGCTGGGGGTATTTCCTGGGAATGACTTGAGGGCTACTGAAAGCCCGTATGTTCTAAAGCACCTTTTCCTCCATGACAGCACTGGAAACCACTCTGGTGACAGGAGGACACAGCACTGGATGGTTTTCAGGGAGCCCTGGATAGGAGTTAGGGAGTACTAGGTTAGAATCCAGCTATGCTTCTGACATGCTGCACAGAGGGGACAGATGTCAACTCCCTTTTATGGCTGAAGACCTGCAGCTTAGTGAGGACAAAGGGCAGCTGAGGGCCCAAGCAGTACCCTCCTAGAGCTAGAAGTCACCTTTACATACATTATCACTAATCCACCCAGGAACCCCAAGGTTGGCATTACTTTTCCCTGTTACAGGGAGTGAACCTCAAGTTCAGAAACGTTAAGCAACCTGCTCAGGGTCACAAATCTAACAAGTAGTAGAGTCAAGAGTTGAACCAGGTCTGTTTTTACACCAAAGCCCCAAACTAACTGTTGTTAGGAATTTTGTAACCAGTCAGGTTTTCTTCCTTGCTTTGGCTAATGGGAAGCTCAAAGTCAAATTTGAGATTATTTTTAACAATTGTACTGAGTCTCCTACTGGACTCTGGCTTCATTCTGGCTTTCTGCTTTTACCTTTACCCTGATCTCTTTATTTTTATTATATTGTATTTTATCTATTTTTGTAAATTGCCACAATACCTTTTTTTGCAACAAGGTGGAATATACCTAAATAAATACGTGATCAAAAGCTTGATTTAAAAGTCTTGACTAAATGCTATGGTCTGCATCCTTATCATAACACAGACATTTAATAACTTTAAAACAATACTTTGTTATGAGAATCGGCCTTGTTGCTAGAAACCGATCTGGATTATGAACTAGGGCAGAAGAATCCAACTCAGGCTGACAACCAGGCCCCTCCCAGTGAAGAGGAGAAGCAAGCCATTCCCAAAGGTATGCAGACACTACCTTGCAGCCCCGCCTTCAGCTGCAGAGAGAGAACCCCAGGGAGGGAGCCTTGAGCATCACTTAGTCCCATGTTCTCAAACTTCAGTCCTTCATGTACAGACCCTCGTTGTGATCTTTGTCATTTCCCTCTACCATCTTCAGTATAGTTTACTATTTCTTTTTTCAATCATTTCATTCTTTTTACTAAAATAATTTTATTTCAAAGGGAAGCTTTATAAGCTGTCAGCAAAAACGAAAACAAAAGATCTTTAAAAAAATTTTTTTAAGTAGGAATATTACAATAGTAAAAAGAAAGCCAGTGACCACAAACACAAGGTGACCGGGATGCAACACAGAACAAGCAGCACTGTCGCATCCCACTGGACACCGTGCCGGTGAGGCCGGCCAAAGCGCTCTGTGTAAAAAGGAAGATTAGCAAATGTTCAAGGGACATAAAGGGCAAACCAGCAGCAAGTGGATATTGTCCTTGATGTAATCAGAGGGATGGGATTGGAAGGGAATAGCTTCTCCCATGTGGCTTAATGGCCCTTCACGTGGTGGCTTAGGTACCTCCAAGGAGTTCTCAAACCACTGATGGGTGACTTGGATTTAGACTAGCTTCCCAAACACACACACACACACACACACACACACACACACTCATTCAGCCAGGCCTTCCCTCCCCGGCCTCCCCCAGCTACAGGCCAGCCTCGGCAGAGCCCCTGCCTTGCCTGGTAGCTGGGCACTGTCCCTGTGGCCCTGGGCAATGACGAGGGTCCCAATCCCCACAGTACAGACAGGTCAGAAGCACAATGCCACACCTACCATGGCAGAGGCTGATGGGAACATGTCCCTCTCACAATTCAGACTCCACTAGGGCTGACCCTAGTCCCAAGCAAGCCAAACATGGCTGGGTTTTAGGTAATCTGGACCATGGCCTCCCCTCTCTGACCCCCTCGCCAGCACCAGTCCCATCTGCTCTCCACCCCATCCTCCCCAGCCTTTGCATCAGCTTTGCATCCCTCTGCCTGGTACACTGGTGCCTGCACCTGTGCGTGGTTGCCTCCCTCTGGTCACTCAGGTCTCAGCTTCCCCAGGGAAACTGTCCTTCAATGCTGAGTCTAAAGTCATCCCCATCGGGCTTCCCTGATGGCGCAGTGGTTAAGAATCTGCCTGCCAACGTAGGAGACACGGGTTCAAGCCCTGGTCCAGGAAGATCCCACATGCCACGGAGCAACTAAGCCCGTGCACCACAACTACTGAGCCTGCACTCTAGAGACCACAAGCCGCAACTACTGAGCCTGCGTGCCACAACTACTGAAGCCTGTGCGCCTAGAGCCCATGCTCCGCAACAAGAGAAGCCACTGCAATGAGAAGCCCGCGTGCCACAACGAAGAGTAGCCCCTGCTCGCTGCAACTAGAGAAAGCCTGTGCACAGCAACGAAGACCCAAAGCAGCCAAAAATAAATAAATAAAATTAATTTTTAAAAAAAACTTAAAAATAAATAAATAAAGTCGTCCCCATCACAAGCCCTCTCGTCTCTTCACTAGCAGGTATTTTTTTATTAGTTTTCCTGCTTAGGGCCTGTCTCCTGTCACTGGAATCTGAGCTCCATGAAAGCAGAGCTTGCTCCCTACTTGTTCATCAGCACCCAGAAGACCCCCAACAAATGTCTGCAAATAACCGAGTGATCTGTCTCAGAACCTTGGGCAAGTTCATGAACAGTCTGCTGAGCAAGCCACCCTTGGTTCCAAGGTCATGGCCACTGAATGGGCCACACTTCTTTCATTTTATTCGTGCAGCATATTTGTTGAGGCCATCCCTAAGTCAGGTTCCAGGCAGAAACCTCTAGAATGCAATCTCAGAT